TTAATCATTATTTTGTTTGTTGCTTCAGCTAAATGGCTTTGTTTTGTTATATGTGTATTTTAGTACTTATCTCCCTGTCATCAGATGCTTAATGGGATCTAGGGAACTCTGCTGTAGAAAAGTGGAGTGCAGGCTTTAACACAGGGTACCCCTTCACCTGGCACTGAGGGATGATTCAATCCATCACTTTTCATTTAATATAATAGACTAGACTTTGGTCAAAAATGTCTCTGGTATAAACAAATGGAATCATTGATAGATCATTGTTGCCAATAACCAATGACAAATACCCTGCTATTTTTTCTTAGTTTTGCAAAGTCATCTCTTTTGATTAAAGCTGGCAACTATCAGGATAAAAGGACACCTGTCAGTACTTGGTGGATATTCTTATGAAATGTGTTCCTAAAGTGCCAAATCCTATCCTTTTCTATAAGAACTGTAACTCTTAGAGGGTTGATTAATTTTAGGGTGCTAAGATGCCTTCTCCTAGCACACTGATGATTGCTCAGATCTGGATGCAGTACCCGAGTCATCCCAGCTTGCAACTCCGCATTTTAAGGAAATTTCAATTTAGGATCTGTTTGTCTCAAAGTATTATTAGCAAAAGTAAAACTGGGGATGCTGAAGAGGCAGAGTAGACATTGGTGTCATGGAGGAAGAGCTGACTGCCTGATGCAGTGGCCTGCTGTCTTCAGGTCACCTTCCCTGGAAATCACATCCCTACAATTACGGTTGCTGGGCTGGTTTGGTACTGTACTAAGGCTGAGAGGTGTGGTGTGTGATGCTTTGTGAACCAGCCTGAAAATTAGTCTGCACCATTAAAAAACAAATTCACAATGCTTATTTTTCACTGCCTCAGACTCATTTTCTCCTTAGGGATGGGGAAAAACATTTGCATACACATCGATTAAATGGAATGCATTTGGTATTTTAGATGTATTCACTCTGAATTGTTGTATATAATATAACAATATTACATATAATTCACTCTGAATTGTCATTTTAATCCAGACTGTGCAGGGTCCTGGGGGGAAGCCAACAAACACAATATATGTCTACATCATTAAAAATAATTTAAGTGTGCTGGAAAAGAAGTGTACAAGTGTTTGCAGGGTGTTCTATATTTACTCAGGGGTAATGATAAATAATTGTTGGTTTTCTCAGTTTATAAATCAAAAAGCAGGTTTTAAATATGTCAGCCTTCAGTCAGGGTTCTGTAAAAATAATCTGAATAACATTTTCCTAACATTCAGTCCTTGTTACCACAACCTCAGGCTTCTTGCATTAATTCATCCACTGGACCCCTAAGAGTCCCCTTAAGGTAAGTAAATATTGTATCCTGGTGGGGAACTGAAGTGTAGGGCAGGCTGAAAGTAGCTGACAGAAATTACCTATAAAAAAGGGCTTATAGACAATCTTCAAGTCTTAATCTCAGAAGATCACTAAATAGTGTTGATGTTTAAATCACTCTAGGTGATTTCTTCATTGATAAACTGTCTCTGAATTGACCATGTCTTCTGGAGCCAAACATGGTTTATTATCCTTGATGCAGAGAGTAAAGATGTACAATGACAAAGTGCCATTTTTATATGAAAGCAAAGTTTCAAGAAGAATTTTGCTAAAACACCATCCTGTTTTGATATTTTGGGAACATCAAAGGGGTTCAACTGGAAAGATTAAAGGTCTATTGATCACTAATAATTTCCCATTTTTTTTTTGCTGTGCTTAGGGATCACATAATCTGCTGCTGGAATACACCCACATGTGAGCTGGAAAGCACTGGCTGTCAGAGAGCTCAGAGCACTGTAACTTGGCAGTTTAGAGGGGAACATAAAACAACTTTCCCATGCCAAATGGTCTTATGGTTAAAATCTAGCTACCTACTGAAATTCAGTGGCAACTTAAAGAAGGGCATTAATGATTAACTTAATGATATAACTAAAAGTTATATCATTATATAACTAAATAATGATATAACTAACTTAATGATATAACTAAAAGTTATTTCATCATATAACTAAAAGTTATATCATTAAGGAAAGAGATGTAAAAATGAAATTGCCACATTCTTGCTTGGTTCAGTATGTATGTTTTCCTGATCTTCAGCATAATGAAACCCTCAGTAGGGCTATCAAAAAAATCTATATATAGAGCTGCTAAACTCTCCATTAGTCTCTGTACTCCCACATGCATCAACTCTTTTTATTCCTTCCTTCTGATGTCAGAAAAAGGTAATTTTTGAATTAGATAAAGCCAAATAGGAATATAGGTACTGTGCAGTAGGATTATCCTAGAAGTTTTACATAAATTGGCTGATAGGACAGCTCTGCATATTGTTTTCTCCATGGCAAAAGGGTGGTTAAGTCTTGGCCAGCAAGACCAAGAATTACAGTTGTTTGTAGGTGGGTAGATAAGGGGCTTGTAGACCAAGGTCAAGGCTACATCTTGATCCTCTCAAAGGCTAAACTTTAGGACCTGATCATAAAATTAATTCACAAGAATTGCCTGTCCTAAAACCATCTCTTAGGTCATTCTCTGAATGCCTCCACTAGTTTAGTGAATTGTGGGGAAAGACAATGATAAAAATTTCGTAAACTCTTCAGATTGTTCAATAAATGCAATTAGTGTTCTGCAATGCAGGAGGCTTTGTCATGTACAAGACCTGTTAGGCTGCAAGAACAAAATAAACAAATGGTCTGTATCTCAGGGCTCTTGCAGATAGCACAGCTGTGATGTTCATCTATTAGAAAATCATTAGGGAAAAAATTATATAGCATTGGTTTACCAGTAAGCAAGGGTACTACTCAGAATTTTATTTATCTCAGGAATGCTTTAGTCACTTTTAATTTAATCAAATCCTAGAAAACACACTTTTTTTCCTCCCATCAAGGTAATTTAGTGCATTAGATGTTTCACAAAGTATCAAGTGAATTACATATGTATGAGTCTCCAGGAAAGCCTTTGAAGGAAGGGTACTAATGTTCTTGTTCTTGAAATAATATCCTCATATTGTCACAAGTTATTAGTGACACTGCCATTTCTCTGTCCCGGGAATGGAGTTTTGTGGCCATTGCTCATCTCCAGCCATTTGTCAGCCTCTGTTAGGGCTCTGTAGCTCACACTGAGCACCTTGAAATGCCCTGATCATGGTGGCAGGTTCCTGTGGCAGGTTCCTGACAGCAGTCACTCACTCAGGTTGGGATGGGGGTTGCTGTGGAGCACATGGGAAGGGGGGCAGTGAAGGAGTGGTTGCAGTGGAGCTTCACCCATCCCTCTGATCAGCGGGAATGCTTGAGCTGGGATGTTGGATCTTGGGCAATGCTTGAACATGTATGTGAAACAAAAACTAAGTCAAATCTTTTCAAGTGATCTCACGGTTGGAACATGGTTGAAATGATGATTTGCTATGTAATATATTTGTTTAAATTGGTCTCAGTTACCACATATTGAGATCAAGTGTTTTGTCCCATTGAAACAGGGGCTGTCAGGGCCAAAGGCTGTGTTTGTGTGGCTAGTATGCAACTCACCATGGAAACAATAATAACAATTATTGTTAGAACAATAACAATAATTAAAACCAGGAAACAATAATAATTAGTTCTTCTTGGATCTGAATTTTTATTTTTGATAATATTGCAGTACTAATATAGCAGGATTTAATAATTACAGTCAATTACAGGTCTTAATTAAATGCTAGTACTATTACTGTGAACAATAAAATGAAAATAGCTACCTGATGATTTAAGAGTGCTTTACAGGCTCCTGAAAGAAAACATTAAAAATTTCCTTATTTGTTGCTGAGGTTAAAATTGGGAAAGAACATAAGGCACGCATGGCAGATGTTTTATTTTTGAGGATCTTGCTTTTGTTGTAGATTTGCATTTAATGGTGTTTGCTAAGTTTGTAGTTAGTAGTGCTACAGATTTGTTGCAGTTAATAAGGTTTGCAAAGTTTTATGTTAAATAGAGGGATATTTTGTTTAGCTTGTAGATTACATGTTCAAAATTGAAGTCAATGGAAACAAAAAGAAATTAAAGTATATCATTAATAATTTGAGCATCTGAATAATCCATTGCAGATGCCATCAGTTTAATTGCATGTGCATATTAAAACCCCTCATTTGAAAACAAGTTTCTAAGTATTCAGTTTATAATGTCAACATCTGTTGAAATATACAATAGTTTTATGATAATTAGCAATGGGAAAACCATAGAAGTCTTGAAGTTTGATGTAGATAAACAACCATATTTCTGCTACTTTTCCATCCAACATAAACCTTGTTTTCCTGAAAAAATTCTGGTCCTTCAGCCCTTGAGGGAAGCTATACATGTGTTGTTATTCTGTATTTGATTCCCACTAGCCTCCAAGACATCAGAGAAAAATTAGAAGAGAATGACTCATTAATTTTCAAGTTTCATCACAGAAGGGCTGTTCAAAATGCTTTTTCCCCTACTTCCCTCATTATAGTGGTCGCTAAAGAATTGGAAGACTTCTTTCAGTTTGACTTATTACTAAAGTAATGCAGATTTTGATAATGTGAATTCTTTAGGTTGCTTTATTGTTGTTTTTGTGGCAGGATTTTTTTTTGTTTGTTTAGGTCTTTTGTTGTTGTTGGGTTTTTTCCTCTCTGTGTGTGCAAATTGAATGAATCTTCAGAGTTTTTTCATTTGAATTCCTGGTGTTGGTGAGCTTTCACTTCAAGCTTAGTGATTAATGATGCGTTGGAGACCTGTGCTATAACTGTGCTCTGAAATTTTTTCTCAGCACATCTGGCTCTTTGGTGTAGTCTGGGAGCTTGATCCCCAGTGTCAGACATCACCAACTGAACTGGAACAAAATAAGTTGTAATGAAACAAGAAGTTTCTTACTGCCTGACGTGAAAAGTCTGTGCTTAGCGGTGTTTGTGTGATGATGTCGAGCGGGTTTGGAACAGGAACACTGCTGAACTTGGCAGTTTCCTTAAGATACTGTAAGCAACCCCACTCTTTTCTCAATGCTAGGATTCTGCCAAACATCTGGCTGGGAAGCTGTCCTCGGCAGCTGGAGCATGTGACCATCAAGCTGAAGCATGAGCTGGGTGTCACAGCTGTGATGAACTTCCAGACTGAATCTGACATTGTTCAAAATTCCTGGGGCTGCAACCGCTACCCAGAACCCATGAGCCCCGAAATCCTCATGAAACTGTATAAGGAAGAAGGCCTTGCCTATGTCTGGCTGCCAACTGCAGACATGAGCACTGAAGGTAATGCTCATGTCACTCTTGCAGTAAATTAATAGCAACAAACAGTTGGAGTTAATAATCTGTCACTTTCATGACAGCTGGGGTGGGGGGGAGGAGTTCTGTGCACATTTTGCATGAAAGTGTAGCTGGAACATAAGGTATAGTTTCTTTGTGTGCTGTCTTTAACAAATTATTCATATTTTCTTGTAGGCAGAGAGGCCAGCTGAAGTACTTTGTGTCTGGCAGTATTACTTGTGTTTGTGTTTAAAGCCATCTGACATCAATAACTTCTTGACTGTTTTTACTTTCAGCTTGAGTTCAGCCTACATAATGAAAATATGCTGTGTAGGTGGAAGACTGCAAGTTTGCAGAGCAGGGCAGCTTGCCACCTTTGCTGATTAAAAATGGAGAGGCAGTGCTGTGTGTCTGCTGTTCCCCTCCCCAAAACCACTTTTTCTTTAAGTGTAGTATCCCAGTCTGATGAAACTCCATAGCGACATTTATATAATAGATTGCAATTAATTGAAAATGCTCATAGCACCTAAGCTGTTACATCAGTTACTAGTATTTTTAAGTCCTTGGTTGGAATGCTCAGTTCAGAGTCTTGTTTCCAACCAGAAGGTTAGAAAGTGAGTGTGTTTTCAAGTGAGCAGCCTGGCAGCAGAAGTGAGTGTTTTCAACACAGGGAAATACACTGCACAAATAGGTAACTGTCATATCAGCAACAGGACATCAGGGAAGACAGGAGACCTTAAAACAAGGATTTGAAAGGGCTTAATGTCAGTGCTCATATGTGCCATGAGGAAAAGTTGGACTCTGCTGCTTGCAGCTCTGTTTCCCAGGATAGCCAGAAGAAAAGTGTCAGAAAATATGGTATGTTCATCCCTTTGAGAGTGAGAAAGGCTATTCTGTGTTGTTTGACTGTATGCTTAGTGCACAGTGAAATCATAACAGTTTTAAGTTGTACAGTAAAATGTTCTTCTGCTCCTCCTCCCTCCTCACTTACTGAATTAATGGCTTTCATTGCAACATTTTGAAAATCAGCAGTCTGTAGGTACCTTCACAAACCTCTGGTATTAAAAAAATTGAAATTTCAGTTTTGGCTCGCTAACTTTAACGCTATGTAAGTTGTGCTGTTCTCTATAATGTGCTGCCTTGTCTCAGTTCCTTTGAAAATGAATGTGCCACACACATCTGATGTTATCAGAATTTATATTTAGAAGAGACTTGGGGCATTTTAGTTTTGTGTGATCTGATTCTATATTGCAAAGAAAAAAACCAACAAGTTAGCCTAGAAAGGGATTTGAGAAAAGAAAGAAAAAAAGTGGAATATGTCAGGTCTGCTATTGTATTTCACAGTTCATCAGGCTGTGCAGGCAGAATCTCAGTCATGAACAGTCTTTGTCCAGTGCAAATGAACGTGCCTTGTTTTTAACCTCAGGCAGGATCCAGATGTTGCCCCAGGCGGTGTGCCTGCTGCACGGGCTGCTGCAGAACGGACACACTGTCTATGTGCATTGCAATGCTGGCGTGGGCAGGTCCACAGCTGCTGTCAGCGGCTGGCTGAGGTACGTGCTGGGATGGAGCCTGAGGAAGGTGCAGTACTTCTTGGCTGCCCGGAGACCAGCTGTCTACATTGATGAGGAAGCTCTGAATCGTGCTGAAGAAGATTTCTACCAGAAATTTGGGCACCTTCGTTCCTCGTATCAAATACAAGAGTAGAAAAGGAGAAGAAGAAAAGGAAGGTGAAGAGGAATTTGAACATTTGAACCTCAAGGACTTAGAAATTTCTGTGTTTCAGGCACCCACCTCAACTCTTCAGATTACAAGCTTCTTGTAAAAGTGATGAGAATTTTGTTTAAAAAGTGCCTTAGAGGTTTTTATTTGCTTTCCTTGAGCTGACATGGTTCATGTTTTCAAGCCTTTTGGTGCAATTATGAGACCTAGAAACTGCAAAGGGAAGCAAGATTTTCTTTTAACTACTTGCCCATAGGAGCTGAGATTTTAGGCTAGAGACTAAACAAGACGTGAGGTGAAATAGAGTTGGCAATAAAAAGTGAGAAGAAAAAAATATGGATATTGACTGGATTAAGATTCAGATTAGGATGGAGCAGATCATCATCAAAGCTGCTCAGTTATTTTAAGCAGACATTAGATTGTTGCAGTGTTTTGTAGTAATTCTGTAGACAAGTGGTATTGATGAGAAAGACCAGAAGGAAACTGATTCTTCAACTCAGTGTTTAAAAACAAAAAGCTAATATCTAATGCAGTGAACTAAGATTTGCACTTTGTCCATCTAGTTAATGTTAAGTATTATGGGCTCCAGCTGTATTCTTTCATGACATTGGTATTATGCTGGGCTGTGGCATGGAGAGAGGACACAGCTCCAGCTGTGGAAGCCTTGCTTTGTCGTGGGGCAGGACCACTGCTTGTTACATTATCCTGGGCTGTGAGTTCTCTGAGACGAAGCTGCCTTTTGCCCCTCTGGCCCATGCAGTGCTGAACAGGGGCTCCCTTAGGTGCCAAGTCATTCTGAGCAGTGACCACTGGGTAAGACAGGACCTATAGGAATTGTGTGATAAGCAGAGTGCACAACTGGCACCTCAGCCTCTGGGCTGTTGACCCAGATTAACATTTGCAATACAGCAAAAGCTTCTCCTTGTGCAAGCAGTGGGTGTGTGCTGGGTTTAGCTCATTGAAGCTAATGCTGGGCCACCTCTGGTCTGAATGAAGTCAATATATTCCTCTATAGGAGCAAAGAGCAACTCTGCAGAGGGTGGTTTCTCAGCAGCTTAGCCTCAGTATTAGCTTTGTGGATGATCCCTAATATTTTCCATTGCTGCTTGGTCCCTTAGCTAAACTAAGCACCAACAGCTTCCAGGCCCGCTCAGATGAAATTAATTTGATATAAATTGAGTTCAAGAGAGAAGAGAGAATTAAGGATGCATAAACATTAAGAAACATAATTTCTATAGGTTTATTCTTCAGTGAAATCTCATTTTTTTCAGGCAACTTGTTCCTCTGAAGATGCAGTCAGTGACAGAGTAGTTTAAGTAATAAATATTGATTTTCTGAATGCTTAATGGAGAAACTATTGGATATGAGCTGTTTATGGAGAATGTACAAAATAATATATTTTATTTATCCTATACTTCAATCTTGAAAAGAAAAATGTTCATTTAAGTTATTGTATTTGTGGGTTTGACCATGACTTTATTTCTGAATTTTTGAAATAATACTGCCTGTTTAGAAAATGGATGAGAAAATAAAATGACTATTCCAGCAGCCCATTTTGTCATGTGTCTTTGTCTCTCAATTTCACAAATAGCAAAAAGGGTCGTAACCCATATTTCTATATAGAAGTGGAACCAGCCACTTTAATGGTGACAGCCCATGTCTTGTCTTTTGCTGTGTCAGTTTGACAGGAAATCTCAAAAAACAGCACAGCAAAGGTATGTGGACCATATGACACCTCTGGTACCTTCAAAGACTAACACAGGTCTCCTAGCCCAGAGCAGAGAGAAGAGGGAGTGTGTGAGTGCTCCTGTCTGGCTGCTGGGCTCACATGCAAATGTGCAGAGCTAGCTGCCTGCCCAGGAGTTAACTCATTTTGACTCAGTTTAAAGTAAAATTGGTGAGCTTTTGCTACCATATTCTCCTTAAAATCAAGCACTGAGAGAAGGAGAATGGCCTGAGAAACAGAGAATACAAGTTGCTTAAGTTTTGCATTTCTGCTGAGATTTATTTGAAACCGCAAACTTAAAATGTGTTTCCAAACATCCTGACAGAAGCTCTTTCCTCCAGATGCAACTTGTAATAAATGCTGGGGCAAATACTTGCAGATTTGATTCTTGTTCCACAGGTAATGTATATATATATATATATGGAGATATATATATAGAGAGAGAGAGAGAGAGTTTTAAGGCTCTTGGGACTGGGCAGTTCATATCATAGCACAAACAAGTAAGTATATGACTAAGTACAGCCACTCTCTATTGGCCACTTCCTAATTGTGATTATATTGGCAATGGAAGCAGACTGATGTTTCATTTGTAGGGCAGGAATCCACAAGACACAGGAGTCGCAGATTCAAGGATGCCCTAGCAGGCTGTTAATTCATTGTTTACTGTCAATTCAGCAAGGGGTTGTTGATTCACTGCTTATTGCCACTTCAGTTTGCTTTTCTGTTGAACTGCTTGGGAGCACACATCATAGAGATTGCATTAGCTCATGAACTGCATGAAAGCAACTTGCCAACATCACACTAACAAAGAATGCAAAGAGATCCCAGAGGATCCCAGGGGTTTGCAGTCCCGTTGTAGGATTTATAGCATCCTTTTTTTCCCTCATTGCTACCTTCCTGCATTTGTCAATGAAGACCTCTCTGTCAAGCAACATTCATTCAAAACCTTTTCTGTGGAATGCAGCTAGGAACTTAAATGCTATAGGAATCATTGCAAGAGACTACAGCAACAGAAAAATCAAACCTATAAGAGTATTCAATTTCTTCAAATGTATAATTACATAATAAATCTGCATCTAGAGATAATGTATTAGATTTCAAATTTGTAATGTGTTCTTATGCTGATTGGATCATTAGCTCTTTCCACAGGCCTGCCTCTTGATGTAATTTGGATGAAAGGATCAAGACAGGCTCTTGTTTATATACTTGTGTATTTCCTTGCTACTTTAGTCCTAAAGCACTACAAAATTTAGAGAAAAAGAGCTCCTGTAAAAAGAATTAGAATCAGATAGACAGTAATGGTTATTTTGGAGGGGGCCCAAGAAGCCCATAATAATGGGAACCAGGTAAAAATGTTTTGATAACTCATCACAGAAGAGCATCAGTTGGAGAAAACAGCTGTGATGCTGTGAGCATCAGTATTCTCTGCCCTGTTAAAGTCATGTTTTTACCTCCATGAAATGAAAGAATTTGCTGCTTGAATTGGAAACATTTATAACTCCAGGTAGTTAGAGTGTCTCAGTGTCATTATAAGGCCAAACAATAGTATATATTCTTTCCCAGGGCTATGCACATGAAGGAGCTAAGCAAATTCTCTTACAAGTGGTTTTGTAACAAGCACAGCTCCTTGAGGGATGGGTTGGGCTTTCAGGGGTACAGTTTTGTGAATATTTTTCCTTTGGACATCACAAAAGTATCAGTGACAATCTTCCGCAGGACATTTTTAGATTGGTGATTCAAGACAATGAAAGGGAACTGGTGTGTCTGGTGTGACTATTGAAAACCTTCCTTTCTCCCTTACTCCTTACTTGCTATTTTGCACTTTGAGTTTTGATCTCTTTGCTTATGTTGTAAGTTTATGATTTTCCCTCCCAGTACAGCAGCAAGCACAACAAAGCTCTGGCTGCAGGTGTGATACCAGGATGTTCTCCATGGCTGAAAAGTCTCAAACCTAGCAGCTGAGTTGTATGTGCTGCACAAAATCATGTGCAAAACAGTCTCTCTGCTCTGGAGTGAAACTAAAATTTGTGAGTGTCAGTCAAGCCCACGTGGGTAAAGGAAAGGAAAAAGGCTGTAGATTGTGCTGGAGCAGGTAATAAACATCCCTTTTTAAAACAAGAATGCAAAAAGTCAGAGTTATTCCATTACCTATCCTGATGGCCTTTTTGAGCTCTAATCTATAAACCCCACTGAATTTACTGGTCTGTAATTGAGGAAAAAAATCTAAAGTAGCCAAAGACTGCTCTAAGTGTATTAGTCTGTTACTCCTCTTATTCTTCATAATTAAATTGCAGTGAGATGTTTCAAACCAATGATGAAGTTACAAACAAAATTATTCTTAAAAAAATATACTGTGCAGCAGAAAACAATGAGAAAATACTTAGAAGCATAATAACTATTGGGAAAAGCATATATTTGGCAAGCAAGAATTACCTTCTGGAAGGATAATGAACATCAGGCTGCTGTTAGCTAAAATGGAATTGGATTAATGCAGCAAAAGATAGCTGAATGTCTCCAATTCTGTTTATATTCTCAGTGGTAAATCACCTCTGCAGATATTTCTTAAAAAGTATTCTGCAGGAAAAAAAATTGTGGTTTATTTGCCATATGAATCTAATGTAAAAGGTAATGGGCTGCTCTGATGGAGCAGACTGGGAATGGTAGAAGCGGAAAGGAATTAACAATTTATGTCTTTCAGCAACAGAGTGACATCACCAACAGCAAGACCAAACCACATGATTTCATAATTGATCTGCTTCTTAAATTATTACAGGAAAGCAGTATTTTCAAGGGCAATGACATTACCATATATTAGGATAATTGCAGGATTTTGATACAAGTAACCAAAATACATATTGTTGGCACTTCAGTTGTGCTAACAATGAACCTATGGGGTGCTCATTATTAATTAGACATATTTTACTCTTGCTCTTCCTTTCACCTCAAGGTCTTTCATTAGAGTCCTAAATAGTTTATTTTTAATTTTGGGGCTAAAAATTTCCATATTTGTAAGAATAAGTAATGAGTATTTTATCAAACCCTTTTTACGTATTGAGACTTGTCTTATGAAGTAACAACTGTTATATCCTGTAAACTAAAGATGGTAACTAACTTAACCTGACATGATTCAATCTTTTTGTGCTTAAATGTTTTTTTCTTATTTGGGAGATTGAATTTGTAAAGATTGCAGGATAATGTCTGTGATTTGATAATTACTTCAATGCTGATGCTGTTATATTTACAGCAAGGATAAGGCCTGTTTATTCATAAGCTGGTAAAATATTAAATGATATCTCATTCTTGATTTAGATATTGGGAAGAAAAAGCATAAAAAATCTTCAAAGAAGAAATTTCTAATGCTGGACAGGTTTCTGTGGCCGTTACTTAATGTCATTATAACAAAATTTATTTTGTGGTAATGCAGTTTCAGCAGGGAAATAATTAATGGTCAGGCCATCATCCAAGAGTAGCAGCCATGGTTAAGTTGGGCAGCCAGCCCAAAGTCACTGCAACAAATCAGATGCTGAAAATTAATCCAATCTGCCAAAATTCAATAAAATGCATAAACACAGAGGTTAAGAATGAAAGACTGTGTTTAGGCTTAAAATGCAGTTTGCAATATATTGAGCTGTATAAACAAAAAGAAACATGGAAGGGTAAGCCTTCGAGAACACAGACCAGCTGGATACCTTCTCTGGGGCAATTAACTCATGCAGTGCACTCAAGCTGGTGAAGCTTCATGAGCACAGAAATGGTTGCTGGTGTCCTGTGGTTTGGCAGGCACATCAATCCTTTGTGTAGAGATGTGTGGTTCAGAAATGGGATCCCTGTGGCTGTGCTTTGGAAGAGCTAATGGGAAGGGCACCACTTAAAGCCTGCTTAAATTATAGCTCCAGGTGGAAGTCTAAACAAAACCACATCTTGATGGAGTCTTTCTCTTCGCATGTGTCTGGCTGAAACAGGCAAGCCTCTCAGATGTCTCCCACCCTGCAACACCTGTGCTTATAGCCAGAGAGCCAGAGTGGGAAATCCTCACTAGCAGGAGTGGCCCTGGTGAAATAATCCATTTCTACAGGTGAAATGGATTATTTAATCTCTCTACTCGAGTTACTCTGTTTCTTAACATGTAGTTAAATGGGAGAACTGCTGTTCCCTGTGCCTTCAGTCACAGGGAACAGCAGTTCTGTTCCACCTACAGTGGCTGTGGTGGTGCTGTGAGCACTTGATCAGACAGTATTTCAGGTACTTTGGAACTCCATAGTAATATGGTCTAAATGGCCACCTTAAATTTCACTGAGAGTTACTTGTCCATGACCCCTACATACTTTCCTGCCACATGTGTGAGTATTGCAGCTTGGTGGCACTCACAGGCAGCTCAGGGTGTAGTAATAAGAACCAGGACTCTGATCTGCCTTCTTCCCACCTGGGATGTCTTACTCACCAACAAGGAACAAGGATGAATGAACAGATGCTGGCATCTTTAGCCAGACTTGATGTAGGTTTTTTTGTTGTCTTCTGGCACTTTCCATCCAAGTGCCCTCTTCAAAAATAATATAAGCAATCATGATATTGTATTTTCAGCACCACTGAAAATCTCAATTGTTTGTTTGGTTTTAGTTTTTTAAAATTAAGCTTAATTTACCTATTCAGTCATGGGCAACTAAAGCAGAAAGTGCTGCTCTTAATTTCTGAAGTCTTCTACTCTTCTTATATGGTAAAATAGATTCATTGTTTTGCAGAAATTTTCATGCAAAGGACTGCAAAATGTCTTGTAAGGCAATAACTAGTCACACTAGTCACT